AAAGCAAAAGCTTTCTAGCAGCCCAATGTCTCATATTCATCATCTTGAAAAGGCCGCGCAGATGGCAATGAATATGAACCTTCTTCTTCGAGATGAAATTAGGACTCTACGAGCTGAGACTGAGCGGAAAAACTAGAAAGAAGGCAAGAAGGCGTGCTATTCTAGGTAATGATACCCTTTTATCTGTACAAGAAGGCCAAAATCGCATTCAGCAGCTTGATACGCAGCTTAATGAGAAGCTTGATGAGCCTACACCTATGCCTCAACGGCGAGCTCCACAACGCTGCAGTGGCTGTGGGACTATTGGACATACCATAAGGAATTGTCCTAATAAATAGCTATATATTCAACTACTAGATAGTCTAATTTAATTGTATTGGTGGTTGAAAAGCTTCAAAATTATAGTGGGTGCGGCGAAAATTCGTCGCTCGGTGGTATTCGTCGCTCGGTGGTTGATTACGTTAATTATTTACTTCTTCTTCCCTCCCTTGCCTCCTTTCTGTTTACTGTCACCTTTTCCTCCTTTCCCTCCTTTACCCTCGCCTTTACCCTCACCTTTACCACCACCGCCGCCAGCACCAGCACCACCACCAGAGACAATCCGCACTTTGCTGACAGGCAGCGTGTTCACAATCTCCACATCCCGCCATGTCTTGAGCAGTTCTGCCTCGCGCGCACGCATCCTCTCCGCCGTCGCGCGGTCCAGGCCGTTGGCAACATCTTCCGCAATCGCCTTCTTGCCCACGCCGGTGCTGCTACCGCTCGCTTCCGCGATCCAGTGGCCTAGGATCTCCTTGACGGCTTTGCCTTTCTTCACGCTGCCCGGTTGCAGTTTGGCGCGGTACTTGTACCGGCCCAGGGCGGCCCAGGGCGCCGAGACGGGGATCGCGAATAGCACTTCGTCTTCCGGCAGTGGGGTGCCGACTAGCGCTGGTAGCCAGGATAGGTCCTCTGCCTCCGCCTTGGCTGTCTCTTCGTCGTAGTCGTCTTCTGCTGCTGCCTCTGCGTGCTGTAATTGTGCGAGGCGTTTGCGTTCGGCTTCCGCGGCGCGGTCGTGCTGTGCCCGCCGACGCTGTTTCTGCGCCTCGAGTTCGGCTTCCCGTTTCGCTTTGGCGGCGGCTGCTTCGGCCGCCTTGCTGGCTTTGGCGTTGGATCCTAGCAACCGGAGGGCGAGCTCGCGCTCTTCCTCGTCCTGGTCCGCGTATTTCTGAGCCGCCTTCTTCGCCTTGCCCTTTTTGCCGCGGACGGATGTGGCAGCAGCAGCGGCTGGGGTTGGTTTTGCTGGTTGTTGTTGTTGATGGGGTGTCGTAGACCCGGAAGGAGTGTTGTCGTCGTTAGTAGTAGAAGGTGGAGGAGTGGGAGTAGTTTCTTTGGTCGATGCGGGCGACTCGAGGGGTTTTCCTTTCTTTAGCAGTCTCCTCTCACGAGCAGAGAGGTATCTCTTGCCTAGTGGGCGCTGTGGAGTGGAGGAGTCAACCGTCTCTGCAACAGAAGTGCCGTCGTCTCCAGTTGCCTCATTGCCCTCGTTCTGGGAGGCGTGTTCTTGCTCGTCTTCGCCATCCGATTTCTCTCCGTCTTGCACGTCGCCTTCCTTCGCGGCGGTTGCTTCTTCAGTGGCTGTTGGACCTTCTGTTTGGAGTGGGTTAGACCTAGGAGCTGCATCGTCTTCATCTTTGTCACTGTCGGAATCTGAGCTTTCGCTCTCTTCTTTGTCGGCTCCTTGATCATTCCCGTCCGCAGTCTGTTCAACAGCTCCATCTATACCCTGATCCTCAGGCGTCTTGGCATCTGCCTCCTGCTGAGACAGGTCCCCAGTCTCAGCCTTAGGAGTCTCATTTGCATCCGTGGCTGGTTCTTTTGCTTCTTCTGGCTCCTGAAGACGGTGTTTTCGATGGTTCGGGATGCTTTCCTTGCTGATCTGGAACATGACTGCGAATCCGAGAACCAGCTGGCTAGGCGCGAGGTAGTTCTTCTCGCCATTGATCACAAAGCCCCCGGTGGCCAGGAGCTCTCCTCTTTCGTTCGTCTTCGACACTTGGTGTGCATGAACCCACCACGCGGGCATCAGTGCCTTCGACTCCCACGCCTTTGAAGTGGCGACCGAAAGACTCCCTGCCTGCGACAGGGTCCCTGGAGGGATTGGTGCATCGGGCGTCCCCTGCCTATTCTTCACAATGACTGGAGTGGCTCCGTCAATATCAGCATGGACGAAAACGTCTCCCTTTTTGAGATAACGTCTGTAAAGGACTTCAGTCTGGTGCGTGTCGCGACCACTGTTTTCTCGATTAGTGGACAGGACGACATGAAACAAATTAGCACTTAGATAGTTGTTTTATACTCACCCCAGAACCAAGTACCCGTCAGAAGAGATGAAGAACATGTACTTCTCAAACCAGAAAGGCTTCCGCGCTGGCCTCAAAATTTGCTTCTCCTGTTTGAGATTACGCTTAAGATCCTCGGTGACTTTCTTTTCCTGACTCTTGAGCGCCTTCTCAGACGACTGGATCGTCTTTTGCTCTTTCACCGCCGCAGCCTTCTTCTGTTCGTAGTACTGGGTAGCATTGGCCCATGGCGATAGACCCAGATCGATATCGATCTCCAGTGTTCGAGAAGGGCGTTGTGCTGCTTCCCGCTTTGCTTCGATATCGCTGTCGTCCTCGGAATCTTCTTCTTCCGAGTCAGAGTCGTAGGCTTCATCTTCATCCTCCTCCGCCTCATACGTGGCTTCTCCTAGGACCAGTGTTATTGTATTCTCGTGAAGTTTCAAAGGAAGCTTGATGATCTTCGCGACCGGGTTGTTTCTGCCCTGCTCCATCTCGATCAGCCGTGCGATTTCCACCCAGTCCATGCCTTGAGCAATAAGTCCGTTGACGGCGTCTATGGTCTCCTGGACCCGATACACGTTGGCCTCGATCGCTTCTGCTTTGCGGATGTGAAGCTCTTGCGCCTGCTTGAGAGCCCCGACGCGCTTCTCATGCTCGATCCTGGCCGCCTCCAGCTTCCTTTTCGCAGCTTCTTCGTGCTCTGTCAGCCGAGATTCTAGCTTCTGCGACTCGATCGACGAGAAATACTCGTCAACTGTGTTGTTGAACCTGTCGAACTCCAAGATCGTGAACCCGGGCTTGCCTTCAAACTGTCGAGGCTTGAAGGGATGAAAGTCTTCGTACAGCAGTTTCTTCTGCTTTGAAGCAGAGGAATCCTCCCAGGCTTGCTGCTCCGCCGACTTGCCGTCGTCCTTTGCCACTATATACCCTGGATGTTTATCGCCCACAGAAAGCTGTTTCCTGATTGTATCGGCTTCCTCCAACACCTCCATGACCTTTTCGAGAAGATGCTGGTCCTCCAGGACCTGCTCAGGGCGTATGTCGGAATCAAGCTCTCTGCCCGCAATCGCATGGTCCAGCAGCAGCGGGGGAAATTCTGGGAAGCCCTGCGACAATGCCTTCCTCAAATAATCTCCCTGCTTCTTTTTCGTCTTCTTGGGCGCAGTCTCCGCAGCTTCCGCCTCGATCGCCTTTTGTAGCGTCTGTTTCAACCGCTCCTGAGATAACTCAGGAACTCCATGGTAATTCTGCTTATTTGTGACCGTATAGTTCAATCCGACCTTGACTTCCTCCTGATCGCCACCGGCAGGCACCTGGCGGAAGAGCGCGACGATCTTGTAATCACCGTCCGTGAGAATGATGTTACCGCCGGCGAAGAATTCGAGAAACAAGTGGTAAAGGCCATCGCTGAAGACAATGTCGATGATTCTATCGGTCCCGATCTGAGAAACGGAAGTCACCCGTCTCGTCTTGAGGAACTTGCGCAAGCGACTCACGAAGCCGGAGGGCGCGCTCGCGGTGGTGCGCGAATACTCGGTGAGATGACATCGGAAACCGGAGTCGACAATGAACTGTCTGCGATGGTCCGGTTTGGCAAGTTTGAAGAGGAAGATGCGCTAGTTAACCCGGGGGTGTTAAGTCAGCGATTGTAAACCTAGTATAAACACGAATTTACCAGGGACGTTCCTTACCGAAGAAAGATCGTAGATATTCGAGACGCGCAGGCCGGTCAGCGCGGCGTTGAGCTCGAGGGAGATGACCTTGACATCCAAAGACGAAAACCTCTGCTTCATCCTTGGATATCGTCTATTTTCCTCCCGATCCGTCCTCTGTCTGTCTTCTTTCTCTGTCTTTTTTTTGTCCCCACGCAAGTTGTTCCTTTTCCGAAAAAACGCGACAATTGCACCTTGAAAGCAGGAGGGACAGGAAGGTCAGTATTGGTGCCAGAGGGAGAGAAAGATGTCCTTTCTATTCCTCTGTCAACATTGAATGATTGGAAAAGCTGGCAAGAGAGAGGGACAGGGAGAGATGGCTACTGCAGTGCAAGAGAGGAGGGGAGACCACCCTCAGTTGTTCCTCCGTGACGTATGCGGGGCGGAGCGGACTTTTTGGTGGGTGGATTTGGTTATAAATCAGACGACCGCGTCTAATTAATTAATTAAGCATCTATTTCTATGCAACGTAAGGACTTCATCAGTAGAACAATTATGGTCTGCAAAATATGAATTTTTCACTTTCGTTTTCAGAGTCCCATTGTCAAAATAGGTGGAAAGTTTATGGGCAGGTTTCTGCGTGATCGCTAAAAAAGAATCCACTATCACCGAATGTTTGCTCAACTCCTTGATTCTTGCAGGTTCAACAGAGCATGGATCGAAAAAGACAATCGATCATAAAGGCCGTATCTTTGAATTCTGACCTCGTGCTTTTACCTAGCATGAAAAAAAAACAAACACACACACACACACACTGTAACTCTATGGATCATGAGATAACTCCCCTTCACTAGCAAAGAGGACACAGAAACATTCAACCATGGGCTATCAGAATGAAATAATGACAGCAAACATATTAAAAAGAAAATCGCGCCAAGCCCAGCTTTTCTCGCCCAAAAGAATAAAAAATGGGAATTAATGGAGTCTTTCAACAAGCGATGCGCAATGAAAAAAACAAGACTGAACAAACACTCCCTGATTTCCCCGAACAGAAGAGAAATCCCGGTAAGGGACGCTACAGTCCCTGCCGTAAACCCTCGGCCAGTCTCCGCTTTCCAAACTCCCATGCATTCAGCAGACCCTGCTCGGACAGGTCGATGCTCTTCATGTTGGGCACGTCAGGGGCCGGGGCGCGGCTGACCCGCGAAGCGATCAGGACGGGGTCGGTCTCGAGAATGATGCCGTCGTCGATGATCTCGTCCACGGCAAGGGCAACCAGGTCATAGTTTTCGACAATCGTCCGTTTATCCGTTGCGCCTCTGTTTTGACAGGAATCCGAGTCAGTGAGGGAATTCAGACAGATAATATACAATGAAACGTGGAAAGCAGGCAACGCACTTGAACAAAATGCCCAAAGTATCCCGCAACGACAGCACGACGTTATACAGCAAAACTTCGTTCTCCTCCGCGCTGCCCACCACGTACAGCATCACATCGCTCTCGACTTTGAACACGACAACCCGGTTGTCGTACAGGATCACGTCGCTTGTCGACTTGTTCGTCTTCTCCATCAGGCCCTTCTCGAAGGCCTTCTGCTCCTTGACGGTCGGATAGGGGTTCGCGCCGGGGTAATTGGTCGCGTTGGGTGCTGTGCCCGCCGGCGGGTGCGGTGGTGAGTAGTATTTGGCGAAGATGCGGGAGTGGTCATCGGTGGACATGATCAGCACCGCATTGACGGCGAAGAGGGAGAGCGGACCGGGCATGGTGGGCAACGTAGAAACCGGTGTATCTTTCCTTCGAGGCCTTCTCTCCTGCTTGTGGCAGAATGCCCGGTGGTGATGTCTGGATGGGTGATGTCTGTCTCCGACGGGACTTCGCAGCGTGGCCGATCCCGCTTGGGCGAAGATGGTTGGTCGGCTGGCTGGCTGTCTGCGGATGCGCCCCAACGTTGTTCCGGAGAAGCAACACAACTCCAACAAAGATCGAGTTTAAGAATGCTACATGATATCAAGACTACAGAGAAGCAGGATAATCAAAGCTAGTAATCAGAAATCCAATTTATTTAGATCATTCTCCTAGAAACTACTTTGACAGCATAACTCACAAACAGGTTACCTCAAGCAATCCCAATTGCAGATCCTCATAGAGCAGAGATAAATTGATATCAATTGCAAGGAAGATAGTAGCTTGTAGCTACCGCCAGCCTCATCACGGCTGTAGCCCAAGACCCGTCGTATTGGCCGGTGACAAGTTCTCACCGCCAGAGGCTTCCAATCCAATCGGGGAGTAAACAATAAAGTTTATCATACATCACACAAGGCGCAGAAAGAGAAGACGAGAACATTAAAAACAGATAACACATGAGATCAATGGGTATTTAACAGATCGAAGAGAAAAAAAAATCCTCAATTCGCACCTTCAGACAGACAGAATAGACCGATAAATAACGGCGGCATTACACATAAGCTGAAATGATGTTCTCGTGACATGGCAAGGAAATATTAAAAAACACTAACACGCAGAAATAGCAAAAATATCGAAATCAAGATCAGGAGTGGACACTCTCGTCCTCTTTAGCACGGCCGAACCAGGGGATCCAGCTATTGCGATTGGCCTTTTTCTTGGCAGCCTCGTCTTCTTCCTGGTTCTCTTGGACCAGTCGCAGCGGCCGCAGCTTGTTCTGCATCATCACGGCACCCGTGTAGTTGGTCATGCCACTGCTGTTGCGGCTGGGGGGAGTCGAAACAGCTCCCGTCGAGCTGACTTCGGCATTGGCATCGCTGGAGACACTGTCAGAGCTACTGAGTCTCTTGCGCTCGGGCTGGCTGCTCTGAGATGGAGCACGCCTGCCAGCGCCGACGCCCGAGATGTAGTTGGAGCCGAAGATGCCACTCTGTCGGGAGCCCGGTCCCATGGTGGTCGGACTCATGGGCCCGCCAGAAGCACTGCGAGCGCTCGAAGGCCCACGGTACATCTGACCGACGACCGCGGCCGCCGTCCCGTCGGTGGGTTGGTCGGAGCGAGTCCTGCGGTGGGCTCGGATAGACGGGGCGCGAGTCAGAGGAATGCTAGGAGCCGTCTCCGGATTCTCAAACGCAGAGGGAGCCGAGGTGGGCGCCTGCATGACGCTGGACGGGCGGGGTTTAGGCCGAGGGCGGTTTGTTGTTTGACCCGTCACGACCGATTTGGCTCGCTGCAGAAGGGTGGAAGATTGGCCATCTTTCTCAGGAGGGGCTGGTGGAAGTTCCTTGTCGGTCTTTGAGGTAGTGGTGGTGGGGGCCGGATTCTCATTCTTGTCCAGAATCTTTTCGAAGCCTTCGTGCTGCAGGAGACGGCCAATAATTCTCTCGATGTACAGAGTCAGGGCCTTGTTCTGGTCCTTGAGATTCCTGATCTCTGCCTCCAGTTTGCGGATCTCCGCCGCGCTCCCTTCACCCACCGACTCGAGCTCATCCGCCAGAGAACTTTGGCGGCCTTGGGAACCTCCTGGGGCAGCATTGTGTAGGAAATCGCCTTTCGTAAAATCACCGTTCAACGTCTTCTCGCTCAGCAGCAGCTGGTAGCTCTCGTTGTCTTCCATCAAACGAGCATTGGCCATCCGGGCCTCCAGGAGTTCTCGTTCCAGCTCCTGCTGGCGACCGCCGCCCTTGTTCTCCAACTCCACGAGCTTGATCTGCGATTCTGCCAGTTCCAGCCGTAGAGATTCAATCAACTTGTCTTTTTGTAAGAGTAATTGCGAGTTGTTCCGGGAAGGGCTGCGCTCTAGCTGAGAGGAAGGAGCAAATTGTCCGTTGTCAACGTCTGGAGAGGATCGACTGCGAAAGCTGGCTACACAGAGGATCAGCACGAGGGATATTCGGCGAAGCTCTGGGAAACTTACATGATCGAGAAACATTTTTATCACCCTCTGTGTTCGCCCGCTCCTTCTGGGCAAGAGACTCCTTCAGGCGTTGGATAGTCGCCTGCAGCTCTTCCTCCCGACTCGCCTGCTGTTCCTTGTCCTGCAACATAGCATTACGCTCCCGCTCGTGCGCTTGCTCCAGGTCACGCAGCTGGCGAGCATGCTCCCGGATTTCCGCATTCAAGGCTTCAATCTTGCTGTCCTTCTCATGAGCCTGGTCCTCGAGCCTTGTTTGTTCTGCAATCGCCTCATCCAGGCGCACCTGGAGGACCTCGAGCTGCTTCCGATACTCCTCCGAAGCGCTTTCAGCCTTCTGCAACTGCTCCTTCAACTCCTCGATGAGGGCGGCATTCTGTGCCCGCGCTTCCTCGTCGGACGAGTCATTATTCGTGACCTTGGGAACACTGGACACGCTGAGATTCGATCGACCAGGCTTCCGGGCTGCTGCACGAGCCGACACTGGCGAAGCGCGACCGGATGGGGTTCGTTGAAGGCCGTTGGTGGACTTGGATGGACTTCGGGAGTGTGTGCCAGGACTGTCACCGGTGGAAGACCGGGAGCTGGTCCCATTTGTTCCAGTCCCGGGTTTCTTGGGTGTCGCAGACATGTCGAGAGACACCGAGGGTGATTGCTCTAACGACACGTCCGGGTTCGATCACAACCTGCGTATCTGGAGTGTTGAAGTGGATGACCTGGGACTATGGTGTTGAAGGCGGACTCGTGGCGATGATCGACCCCTGTGGCTCGAGGCGGTGACAAGGCACTAAATTCGGCTCGACAACACAATTGGCTGAGTGATGCGTTGGCCGCAAAACGATTCTCGAATGTGAGAGATCAGCTTGGAAACGATGAAAGAGAACACGAAGGTTGGCGACGACAGAAGGGGCTGTTTATAATTTTATTACTCGGGCCGCTGAGGTGGCCGGCGACAACGTCTAATAGTAGCCAAACGCGTTGTTTCCGCATGCACGGGCTTGGGACGGCCATACAGAGTTACAGACAGGATGCTGTCCCTGTGCTGCATCCGTAGCCGGATTCCAATGAGAAGGGGTTCTTATTGGATGTGACTCTCAATAACCTACTGCGTGGACCGGTAATATTTCTTATTATTAGCATCCTACAGGGCCGTTTATGCATTTCATTCCCCAGGGAACGGCAAGGGAACGGTCTCCGGGGGACCCAAGCCGCATCCACCAGCGGTCATTGGGATCGACCATGCTGACACCAGGCCAGCGATGCTTCCACGCTCCGCCACGGCCAGCAGTGGCACTCCTTTGTTCCTTTAATATCTTCTTTGTGCCTCACGAGTGGATCGTGATGATGGCACTGCCCCTTTGAGCGGCGGGCCTGAAACAGGCAGGCTGCCAGCATGACGCACGATTCGTACGAGCTGATTACTAAGGTCGAGTCACCTGACTTGGGCAAACAGTGCAAACAGCAGACCCAAAACGGCATCCGATGGAGAAACGTTTTCCCGCGTCCCGCTGAGTAAGCACAGCACAACGGGTCGTCGCTTAGGGTTTAGGGCTTTGCCACAATACGCGATTAGCGGCTTGCTTTGAAATCAAACTGGGGCAGACCTGCCAGTGACTTCAACCCTCCCGGCCGTCGTCCATCTTTCCATCTCCAACTCCCGTCGACCGTTCGCAGGAAGTGCAGTTTCCATTTCCAGCCGTCAAGATGGCCCGTCGTCCTGCGAGGTGCTACCGCTACTGCAAGAACAAGGTGCGTCTGGCGTGTTTCACGTGTGGTGTTTTTTGATTTTCTCCCATTTGGAGTTGAGGATTGTGGGGATACACCCGGGAACCAGCACGCCCATGTCCAGACGACTTGCTCCTCGAATTTATAATAACTGAACGAGTTATCGTGAACGAATTCGATCGAGATACTGACTGTGTCTAGCCCTACCCTAAGTCGCGGTTCAACCGCGGTGTCCCCGACCCGAAGATCCGTATCTATGACCTGGGTCGGAAGAAGGCCAGCGTCGATGACTTCCCTCTGTGCGTGCACATGGTCTCGAACGAGTACGAGCAGCTGTCCTCTGAGGCTCTCGAAGCTGCCCGTATCTGCGCCAACAAGTATGTCTTGGATTGTATCAATGTCAATTTTTTTTTACATTACTAATACACTGCAGGTACCTGGTGAAGATGGCCGGTAAGGAAGGTTTCCACCTTCGTGTCCGTGCCCACCCCTTCCACGTCGTGCGGATCAACAAGATGTTATCGTGCGCCGGTGCCGATCGTCTCCAGACCGGTATGCGTGGTGCCTTCGGCAAGCCCAACGGCTCCGTGGCTCGTGTGCACATCGGCCAGATCCTTCTGTCCGTCCGCACCCGTGACGCCAACCGTGCGATCGCCGTCGAGGCTCTGCGCCGCTCCATGTACAAGTTCCCTGGTCGCCAAAAGGTCATTGTGTCGAAGAACTGGGGCTTCACGCCTCTGCGCCGTGAGGAGTACGTCAAGCTGCGCCAGGAGGGCCGTGTCAAGAACGACGGTGCCTACGTGCAGTTCCACCGCCAGCACGGCCTGATTGAGGAGAACATCAAGCGCTTCCCTGAGGCGTACGAAAACGTTTCTCAGGAGGCATAAATGAAATGACGGTTTTTGATGTTTTTCCACGGGCGGAGTTGTACTGGTTCGGTCTGAGGTAGTTGGATTATATCGGGGTTTCTACTAGGAAATCGAATTTGTATCTACTATGAATGCAATCTACCCAGACGGCTACACTCCTGAAATAGCTGCACTCGAAGTATGCAGATAGTCAGATTGACCCGTAGGATATGCCGTCAGGCCGGAAGCATACATTCTCGTGGCCTGTCAATATGCTAGAGAATAAACGACCGACTACACACGCTGATCAATAGTACGTCAAGTCACAAGTATATGATATCAGTTATCACTGTACTTGGACCCTCAATAAGCAGTCAATGAAGAATAACATAATCTAAATACACCTCCCGCTTCAGCTAGAATAACTCTCTCCTCCTCCTACCCATATGTCATCCTCTATCCATCTACATTCCCACCATTGTCGGTCTTAACTACACCGTCACCGCCGCCAACACACTAACAATCACAGCCAGCCAGTTCCTATCACCATTCAACCCATCCGAAGCAGCATTCACTGATGGACTCGCCGCCGGCGCCGCCGATGACGACGACGACGACGATCCCGGATTCGCACTCTGGCTAAGAACCCCTCCCTGGACCGTCGGCGGCGACACACTGGTACCCGTATTCGTGGCAGCAGCTTTGTATGCGCTGAGGGTGTTACCGGAGGACCTGGAGGGAGTAACACAATTAGCAAGATCGGAAAAATAATAATAAAAAGAAAGATGTAAGGTGAGGGTAGACATACGGCGGATTAATCACCATCGCCATACCAGCCTGGCAGTGCGAGAGCTCCGTCTGCGAACAGTATAGCCAGATGGGGGTTGTGTCGTTGATGGTTATTGTGAACATTGTGCTCTATAGAGTACGACATAAATCAGTATCATCTATATGCATAGGGATAGTGATATACTAACAGCAACACCATCCCTACTCGGCACAAACCCACTGAATATGCCTCCTTCCCCACCATTAATCGGCGTACAAGGCTTATCAAAACTCGACTGCACAACCGAGTGGTTGAGCGGATAAAAGTGGAAGTTGACTTTGTCGCCGACGGCGGCCGTCAGAGTGTCGGGCGTGAAGGTGAGGCCGTTTTGCCCGACGGCGACGTCGTGGACGGTCGTATTCGCTTTAGTATTTGGAGAAGATGCGGGAGAAGAAGTTGTGCTGGTGGTGGTGGTGGTGGTGGTTGAGGAACTACCACTATCTCCGTATCCGTATTGGGCGTGGATGGTTGGTGAAAGGGAGAGGAGGGAGAGGAGGAAGAAAGTGGATTTCCGGATGGGCATGGTGGTGAGTGGTATGATGGCAATTGAATTTGGCTGTCTGTGTCCTGTATTGTCGTCGATTGTGGAGTATATATAGTATCGATAGGTGTAGACGTTATATAAGATCAGTCGTCTATGTGAAAATACGAAGAGGATAATCAATGAGTTGTTGAACAAGCTGAGTATAAATAATGATAATTATAACGATGAAAGTGTCAGTATGTCTGTCCTCTGATCCATTCAGTGAGGAAATTCTATACGATATCTACTACCCCAATACGGTATATCGAGAATACCTAATCGAGACATATTGTATGTTTCGCTTCCCTAGGCACTCAGCACTCAGGACAACACTCAATACAGCAATACGCTGGCAATCTAGCAGTTTGATACGCACAGCATCAGATATAGTTAGTACAATTCCATTTCTACGATGAGTAGAGGCTAGAATATGTCCCAGAGTAGGTCCAAGCGCATCGCATAGCATAGCATAGCATGCCATACCTAGCTAGGTAGGTAGTTATGATCGTACGGAGTATCACATCAGATAAACGAAATGCCGGTTCAATCTCGACCCAAATCCTGGGGCTGAGCTTATCCCCCAGCGTCCACATCGCCACATCACTACCTGCCTAGGTAGGTATATAGCCTAGCGGACGATCCATCGTGTATACGGTAGTTGACAGATAGCACGGACCTCTTCTTACTCGTTTAGGGCAAACGATGAAAGTAAAATGATGATGTCTGTGAGTCTGTCTTCTACCTGACATTCTAGGTAATAACTACTCTACTCTGTTTACGGCTAGAGTCCTGACATAGGATGTATCATTGTTTCTGGCTATCGAATCGAAGCTTAGGTGTGTATATACCAGGCACGCACGTACGATCATGTAGGCTGTGGTATGTATGCATGGTATGGCCTGGCATAAGCTTACTCTATACATCTACAAGGCTTACAGGTTTTCTTCGCTACACTGTTATTATCTACTTTCCAGACAGACATCCTAACAATATCCAATTCTTTAACTATCCCTTTTGCAGAATTGTCCCAATATCCATTGCTAATTAATACCTACTCACACACCTAAGAAACTTTTTGTTTTTAATTCCTGACAAAAGCACGTGGCAGTGCGCAATAATACATAAAGAAATTAAGTTGACAGATGACAGATGACAAATAGCTAGACGGAAGCCCCAGGAAAGACAAATACAAAGACAGAAAGTTAAAAAAAAATTTCCCCCACAAGAATTATTAAAATAGAGTTGGCAGGTGTAAATAAGGTGCCATCTGTAGATAGACTATTTCTGCTTACTTCCCATTTCCAGTATATGCGCTTCTTGGCTTACGGTTATTATCGGGTGTGTACTGACATTGACACTGAGCCTGGTATTTTTATTATTGGAGTCGATAATTTCTTTTTGTGATTGTGTATTAATTATTATTGGCTAAACTAAATTATGGATATGGATATAGGTATCTTCTTTCAAAATCACAGGGACCTGTTATTATTCTGTATACAGTGAACTTCTTCCCGTCTGTCAGTGCAGGGTAATTCAAAATCGTATAGACATCTGTATTTTTTTTATATTACTGGATAAGACGGTTAGAGATTCTGCTTACAGTCAAATAAAAAAATATTTATATTTCGCTGGAATAGACGACATGTATGACAAGGAGAGCCGGATGGGAGCAAAGAAAGGAAAAAGAAACCGCGAATTTTATTAGAATATTCCCCGTCTAAAACCCACCATCCATCAAAAGCCAAATATTACAGTAATCCCTTCCACATCTGAAAGAAAGAAAGAAAGAAAGAAAGACGCACAGACAGACCTAGTCCAGTAATAACAGTACAGTACGGCGTACAGAGAGTCAGTCAGTCAGCCCAAGTCCCAACGTGGCTGTGCAGATGAACGACAACCCGTTCCAGAAACAGCCCGCCAATATTATTAATACATATTTTGCATTCATGTCGATCTGACCGCAGAACTATTAATACAGTACAATCTATTTATTCTACTTCTCGCGTAATACCTAAAGTGGAAAGACTGCTCACGGACAGGGATGGAGATATATACATACACCTACCTGATTAGGTATGTAGGTTCATAGAAATAAAAAGCTTATTATTATCAGCATTATTACCTTCCCTGCAAATATGATCAGATACCCTACCTAGGTACGGGTAAGATGGAGTGGCTATGCAGCCGATTAGGCCAGCTTGCTTATGATATTCCAAAGTTATGTAGGTAGGTAGGTACATACATGCCCGCGCAGGTCAAGAATATTATTATTTATCATTCTCGGCAGATATATCCCCTGTCATGCTACGTAGATCCGCTTGTCTATCGGTCAAGCAAGCTGACCTATGGCATCTGTATCTACCTAGCAACCTAATACGCGTACTGGGCTGTGCAGATGCAGTGCATGTTCATGTTCATGTCATACTAGTTGGATCTACGTAGATAAGATTGCTTTTTTTTTTTGCTTTTGCACTGACTTGATCTGGCATATCCTTTCCTTCCTTTTCCAGGGATGTATCCCTTTCTGTCCTACATGATCAAAAAAGGAAGTTCGTAACTGGACTGGACTGGACTGGTTGGTACTGACGACGACGACGATGATGACGATGATGATGACGCATGTCCTGTATGCACAGTACATACGTATGCAATCAGTCAATCAGTTAGTCAGTCGATGAATCCGATTCATAGCTGCTTGCAGATTGTGTTACCTCGTCTGGACTGCCTAGTAGGTAGGCAGGTAGGTAAGTAGGTTAGGCGGTTGTTTGTGTTTATAATCATAACTATTTATAAAGACTCCTTCCTGGGAGGAGGCATATTCACCTTTTTCTCTTCTCTTCTCTTCTCTTACTCTTCTTCTTTCCATTCTCTCTTTTTTTCCCGAAAAGAAAAAGTATCGACGTAGTAGTGTTTCTCTTCTGACTATTTTTGTCTCGATTTGACGTTGTTCACTTCTCTTTGTCGTTCTTCCTATAGATTATATATAAGATATATTCAGTCTTGCAAGATGGGCATACTTAGCTCAGGTATGTCATTCCAACACACTGCAACAGCAAGTGATACCATACGTAGGATACGATATAGCATGTACCTGGACAGAGTTAACTAATCATCTTGATGTCTTCAGCAAGACTCGCCCTGCTACAAGCAATAGGCCTGGTCGCACTCGCATCATCATCACCACCACCACAATCCCATCCATCAATCCCAACAACAGACTCCATATCCTCCAGCTCGACAGACCTCACCAAACGCCACCTCTCCTACACAACACTCAACACCTACCGCAAAGCCCACGGCATAATCATGGCCCTCTGCTTCGCCGTGCTCTTCCCCGCCTTCGCACTAACACTCTACATGGTGCCCTACTCCAAGACCGCCTCGCGCATCCACGCCCCGCTGCAGCTGCTCACGCTCGCGCTCGCTATTACCGGCCTGGGCCTGGGCATCCAGATCGCGCAGTCGTTCCATCTTTTGCACGAGGAGCACCCTGTCATCGGCCTCGTTGTTGTCGTGTACATGGTTGCTTGTCAGCCGCTGATGGGGTATTTGCAGCATCGGCATTTTGTGAAGCGGCGCAATAGCAGCGTATTTGGGCATTTACATCGCTGGATTGGGCGCGCGATGCTCGTCCTTGGTGTCGTCAATGGTGGGTTGGGGTTGAAGATAGCTAGGAAGGAGGCCGGGGACCAGGGCGCTTCTCGAGGAGTGGTGATTGCGTACGGAGTCGTCGCTGGCGTCGTGGGTGTTGTTTATCTGGTTGTTGTCTTGGGAAGCAACTTTGTCAAGTCGAGGAGGTCGGCTGGTAGTAAGGAGAAGCATACTGCTTCGTCGGCGTGAGATGAGACAGTGACGTCCATATGGATTATAGCATAGTGGACTTTACATAACGAGATAGATTGCTCGACTCGGCAGGACTGGTGTATAGAAGGATAGTGAGGAGATGGTAATCTGACTGACTATGATTTATTTCTGAACTATATCTGATTCTCAACGCGAATAGATTATATTTACTACCCACAAATGAATACTCGAATCGCTTTATGTCCGTGTAACATCATGCAGTACATACATCTAGAGGATGAATCAGGCATCCACACATAACGACCATTACTCTGACAACTCCGCCGGAAAAAAAAAGAAGAGAAAGAAAGAAGAACAAGAAGAAAGAAAGAAAGAAAGAAAGAAAGAAAGAAGGACAACGAAAAGGAGATCGAGATTTATGTCGAAATAATAGAATACGAAATAAGAAATAGATAAAAATTGTAGTGGAATCAAGCGAGGTGAAAGGGAAAGTCGAGATGAAGAAATTCAAGGAGCAGCCCCCGGCTGAGCAGAGAAGATAGACGAAATATCAATAGAGATAATAAAACGAATCAAGAAATCTAGAGTCCCTCTCAACTCTAGCAAATCTATACATCTGATGCCCTGTCGTCTTTCATGATCCTCCTGACAATAACTCCATACACGTCATCTGTATCCTGATTCCTCAACGCCGAAAACCATACCCGATAGCTTAACAATCATTATCGTTGCGTTCGTCTGCATCATGCTTCACCCCAAGCTCCCACACCAGGGCCGCCTACCGAGATCACGGCGCTGCCACTGCCGACACTCCCCCCGATGTCCCAGTAGTTCCGACTCGAGCCGCTCCCCACGCCAGTGAGCGTCCGCTTCGCCGACACCTTGGTGCTCTGGCTCGCGCAGCTCGAACTCGGCCGGCGGAAGTGATGCCGCGCAATCGGTGAGGAGGGATTTCCACCGGAAATCATGCCGGGATGGGGTTGCGTCCGCAGGTGCAGCTGGCGCTGAAATTGGGCCTGGTTTCGAGCCTGCAACCGGGCGTGGGCACGCGCGACCAGGGGATGGTGCTGCCGGATGACGGCCGCGCGGCGTGATGCGTCCTGGTCGGTGGACAGCGTCGACTGGCCGCTACCGGCACTTGCGTTGCTGTTCCCTCCACGCCGGAAGCGGTTGCGGAGGTATCGAAAGACCATCATCACATCCAGCTCGCGCTCCCAGTACTCATGCTCCTGCTGCAGACGTGCAGACTCCGATACCTCAGCAGGCTCGACGGGATTCGAATCTGCAGTGGCATCTGGGGCAATGTCATCTTCTTCAATGCCCCATTGGGCTGCATGCTCTGCCGTCTCCGGGTCGCGCAAGGTAGGAGGGAAGTGCGGGGAAAAGGTCGACGAGTAGGTGTTGCTATCCGGCGTGACTTGGGACGTTCTGGACTGGGGATCGGTTTCAGTGCGTGAGACAGGAATACCAGCGTAATAGTCCGCTGGAGAATCAACATTCCGCAAGTACGTGCTAAACGCGCCGGGATGTTCCCAGATCTGGTGAACCAAGATGCCCAATTCTCGGGCAATTCGCTGGAGCAGCCGTTCTTGCCAGACGTCATTGTCACCAGGCACATTCTTCATATCTTTCATCTCGCGGTCCATGTCCTCAGGCAGGATGGGACCTGGTTGCTGCTCCTCAGAGGATGTTGATCTAGAATCCGTCTCAACGAGCGACTCTCCCAGGATGACCGACAGCAACGAGTCGTCGATCCCGATCAAGTCTCGAATGACCTTGCGCGTGATTCGACGCCAGAAGGACTCTTCAGAATTCGAGTCACCCTGGGAGGATGCAGTCTCTGTCGACGACGATGATGATGCCGTCGTACTCATGGCCCTCGTTTCAGAAATACTGCCGAGGACATCGCGCCGGGACGCTGTCCGGTTGCTTGCCAAACTCGCACGACTGTTTCGTCGCTGGTGTCGCCTTGTCTCTCGCTCGATTTCTTGTAACAGAATCCTGCCCTGTTCTATTCTCCATTTCTCGATGCGTTGCCATCGCTCGCGCTCGGCGTTATCGGCGTCGCGCTCCTGCAGCGCATCCAAATGCCGTTGTACACTAGAGCGGCGTCGACGCGTGACGTCTCCCTGGCGGTGCGGATTGTACTGCTCATACCGCCACAGCTGGTCCTGGATGAGCTGGTCCGACGCGTGAAACGAGCCCAGTCCATCGTGGGTGGGCAGTACCGGGTAAGAGGAATCGGGGAGGTTGGAGTCGCGGAAGGCATGGAGGCCATCATCCAGGCTGTCTAAGTCGGTCGCGTCTTCCTCTAAGGGCTCGTCTAGATCGTCGTCGCCCTCATCCTCCGACTGGTTCAAGGACCCAAAATCACTCAGTCGGGACAGGCCAGCTGTCCGGGGCGTACGGTCAGTCGAGTCGGTGCGGGTGCGGGCGGTGGAGGAGGGTTGCGACGGGGAGAACAGAACCCATTCCTTGGAATCCTCGTCCTGCTGGCGGGATTCTGCCGATGAGATGTCGAGGGCGGGGGGCCTCTCTCGCCGGGAGTAGGATGCCTGGTGGGGAGCCTGAGCTGGCAGGCGGAAGGCCATTGCGATAACGACTGGCGGAGCAGATCAGAATCGTGCGTGTCTCTCCAGTCGCAGAAATGGCGACTGGAGGAGAGGAATGCAGATGGAAGAAGCGGTTCGAAGAGTCGATTCACAGCGAAACGACCGCAAGGACAGACGTGACCGGGTCAGGACGAGTCTGGGGTCATGTCTTGACGTCGATCCCGATGATGCAGGGCGGGTCCCGTGATGGGGCCGCGATAAGCCGGATTAGGCGGGGACCAACTCTATGCACGCGACCAAAGAATGGGATTGGGATAAGGATACGCAGAAGGAGTGTCTCCTTGTTGGAAATCCCTGGGAAGACGCCAGGAGTCGTTCGAGGCACCGATAGTAATAAATAGACCCGGAGGAGTGATGGTTGTGGCTGCCTCCTTGCTGCAGACTGCAGACTCGCGTGCCCAAGGATAGTGGAGAGGATAACGATAAGACAGTAGTAGATTGTGACTATTGTCAAGGTCAGGACAATAAACAGAAAGAAATCACAATCAGAGAGTGCTACGCCAGGAAAGAAATTTATAGAAAAATAATAAATTGATTTATCTATACAAATAAAAAGCCACAGCCCTTGGCCCCCTGCTTAGCGCAAGGCCAGCAACAACTTAGGTGATCAGCGCAGAGACTGACGCGACGGATCAGACTGCTGGATGACTTCATGGATGCTGGCTGGTGGTGTGACTCACCGGCAGCCTCCTTTGGTCGGAAGAACACGGATCCTCGCTCAGATCTGGAGATATTGATACATAGACATCGCTTGACAGCTGCATGGCTGGACATGACGATGACTGTATGCTGACGTGATGGCGGGAGTTTCTGCGATTAGGTAATCAGGGGTCGTCGCTTGTCGGACCCGTCATATTTGGATTCCTGTGATCCAGAACATTCAGTAGAAAATCATTAATAATTGGCTTGTACATGTCAGCATTTGTTTCATCTTCTCATGCCCAAGCCCTGGCGATGCGGAAAGTGGCCCTGGTGGATGTTTCAGGTACATGTACTTGACAGTTGGCAACTCGACCAACGGTGCAGCGGTGAGGCGAACCACCTAAATTCGGGCCAACTGCAGATGATGGATCGCCTTGAATTATTGTTATTTCAGATAGGCTAAATTAAATTGTTGGGCGGCTGAATCGACTGAAGTGCTAATAGGTTAATAGCTGTGCTGTACATCCGCGCTCAGCGCTGACTGCATCAGCTGATCAGGTATCAAAATTCCCAGTCTATGCGATATTATCATCGAGCTCTGTGAATTTTCTACTTGTATAGCAGTACCTAACCACCTGCCTTACCGTACATTAATCTTATGGATGAGTTGTAGAGGAACTGGTTGATTTTTAAAACCTGTCATAGAAGAACTTATCCCAGGTCATACAAAATGGATGTGCTTAAGCCTACTTACCCCTGTACAGCAATACTAGGATATTTACTGCCTACTTGTGCAAAGGATTTACTTACATCCACGTACCTAGCATCAAGAAATATCATTCACTGCCTCCTATCTTACACGAAGTAGGAAGGAGAAATAAATATCCATAATTCAGATCTCAAATCCACCCCTAAAACATCAAATTCACCGATTCCTACTCTCAGTGACTATTGCCTGCAATATAGCTAATGTATTTATTCACTTAGATCTGACTCTGCTGGACATAAATAGCCCATATCTACCCTACAGCCCAGAACTATCCACCCATCTCTCGCAGACCTCGCACCTCTCACCCACGAGGTCAATCCCTCGGACCAGCACCAATCCGCGAATCTAGCTTTTCAAGCACTTTCCTCTTTCTTTCTCATATGCTTCTCTCCTTGCTTCATGCGATATGAGAATGTATACCTACATACATTTACCAAATGGCTGTGAACTGTGGCAGGCATTGCTGTCTACCACGGAGTCGAACACAGTCAGTACCAATCAACTGGCACTGCATGAGATAAAAGAAACTAACAAGTATTTTTGTACTAGTCAATATCTTATTAATCGAGTGATGAAAAATACCATAACAGAATGGAATGAATGATGGCTTCCAGCAGCAGCCCCAGCCCTCCGATAGAAAACAATAAATTTAAGCAGCAGCTTGAGCCAGAGAACGTCACATGGACCCAGAAAACAATAATAATGAATGCCACCTAGATGCCAAGATGCGTGCGCAACTACATGCACAAAAGCAACTCGAGAAGCAGGAGGTCTAATGCGAAAGACACTCAGAACCAGATGGTCAATTAGGAAGAAACTCGAATAAAAAAAATCAAGAAGACGAAACCAATGACAATATTTCCAAGCCAGCTGTTATGAGTTCTAATACTAATACTCACGCAGCTCTATCGTGGTTCTGGCAATTCTGAGTTCGTTAAAATCGAACTCTTTCCTCTCCACTTTCCATCTTTCTTATTTCGAAATGGAGTGGAGCAAAAAAATTAAAAAAAAAGAATGCATGACATGTACTGTACTGTATGTACATGCACAGTACACAGAATTATGTAACAGCGTGCGTGCTGTTGGCAGGGAGCATATCCTGTGGATTTCAGCCAATAGTGCTTCATTTCCCCTCGTCTTTCTCGCTTATTTATTCAATGTCCTTCAATTTCTCAGCGATCTTTCGCTTGCTGGCCTCCTTTGTCATGTCTTCTTGACTCCTCGCGCTGGATTCACGGCGAGGTTGCGCGTGCGGGGGTCCCAATGACTCTTTGCTTTTGCTTTTGCTTTTTTTTCTCTGGCAAGCTCTGCTATTATATACTTAGGTGCTGTATAAGTACTGTATTTTTACTCTTTTTTGTCAGTGTCCAATTCAAGCCCGGCCCATTGCAACTGGAATTGGACAATCAGTCCGGTGTTTACATCCTCTCTCTCTCTCTCTTTTTTTTTTTAAGGATCATTGTTCCCGTCTTCGTCTACATGTATATCTATCTATACGTCGGAAGTCTTCCTATGATAGGGATTTACAAAAGAAAGAAAAAGAAAAGAAATTCATATCATGTCATGTCATGTTATCTGCGCAAAGCAAGCAAGCAATCATGTGCTAAAAAATAATATCTATAAGAATAAGAAACAGAAAGGAAATGGAACTATCTACATGCAATATGTACATCATATCTTCTCCTGCTCAGGCTCAGCCAACGGCGGCGTAACCAATCCATTCCGCGACACTGCAGTTGCAGTCTGCCCTCCACCGCAGAGACTTTCCTCCACACCAGCCAGAAACATAAGCACGATTTCAGCCGCGATCTTGGCGTCATCGTCGTCTCCATCTCCAGGTATGGCTGCTGCTGCCGCCGACGCACGCCCAATCTGGGCGAGATACGACTCGCGATCGGCATCTGACCAGCCCTGTCGTCGCGCAAACTCAAGACACGTCTCGCGGTTGACCGAGGTATCGAACTCAAAGTGGCCCTGGTAGGTCAGCACGCGGGAGGGATGGTACAGGCCCTGAATCGGGGATTTGTTGGTGCTGCCGATGTTGAGCCATGGCGAGGGAAGAAGGGCGGACCCGGACCCGGACTCAGACTCAGACGCAGTCACGCGATCACCGTGGATGAGCTGGATCCTCATCATCTGCTGACCCTGTTGTCCCGGAAGACGGGCTTCGATCCCCGGAAAAGCGCGCACGAATGCCGGATTCAGTGCGATGGGGTGGATGCCCACTTCGTAGCCGTCTGGGCAGGCGGCGACTGATACATAGCCGTTGTCATGACACTCAGCTTTGTTGCTGCTGCTGCTGCTGTCTTCGCTATTTAATCTCGGATTATGATGCGTAAGCAGCGCCTGAGCGACAATCTGATGGCCAAGCATGACCCAAAGATCCTGACATGCGGATATTCCTCATACACCGTCTGAATGAACGATTGCAAGGGGGCAATCCAGGGGTATAGGTCCAGTCGATAGGCAGAGGCAGAGGAGCCAGTAATGAGGAGAGCGTCGACAGGGCCTAATGGGCCGAATTTTCTTTGAACCTCGTCGTCCTTCGTGTGCTGTCGAGGCTGCGTCCGCAGCAGAGAGAGAGGCGGGAGTGCGCCGCCTACGACGTCGTAGGCCGTCGTATGGACTTCGACTGGCCCGTCAGCAAACAACCCCGATGCGTTCAGTCTTGCGGCAGCAGCCTGGAGTAGGACTCTGAATTGCGAACTGTACAGCCCTCGAGCAGCGTAGACGGTGGGCACGGGGACGTCCGTGTCCAGGACGGCGATGTGGATGCGGCGGGGGGGCATCAGAGCGTAAAGAACCAAAGAAAGCAGCCCCTTCGAACAGATTGACTCTTTTGATAATAGAACGATGTAAGGAGGTCTATTCTATAATTAAAGACAATAAAAAAATGAATGAATGAATGAATGAATAATCGAAAAGCGCACTATCCTGTACAATTGACTTCATTTCAGGAGAAGAAAAGGTTGCGGGGAACAATTAATTAATGGCACCGGATCCGCATGCCCACTGGGGAACTGATAAGATTGCATGTCTTCCCGAAGGGGAAATCCGCTCCTGCTGGGGAGAATAAACAGGCGTGAAATGGTTCCATCTTCATGAGCTATACTATTTCTATCATTTTCACACATGCAGCGGGGGAAAGCCTATATCATGAACAAAATCAAATATTCATTGCAAAGACAATTGGAATAAGGATAATACATTGACATGCAATTACAACCAGACAACATGAAAAAAGAGAAACAAAAACAGTCTATAAAGGTGCCGTACTTTTACTCCGCATCCAGCGGCGCCACCGGCGGCGTGTCATCCACCTGAATGCCGCCGCGCTTCTTCTCGTTGCTGTCCCAGAAGGGCAGTCGCCATCCGCCCTCGCTCTCCGGCGTCGCCAGCCAGAGCCGCATCAGGTGTCTCCGAGGCGCCGGCGGCAGGTGGTCTTTGTAGGCTGTCCGGGCGTGCAGGACGTGTGAGTTGGCCAGGAACTGGATGTCACCGACCTCAAGGATCATGTGCAGCGAGAGCCGCTGGCACGTCTCCTCGAGCACGCGGAGGGCTTCCTGCTGGGCGTCAGACAGGGGCGGGATGAGGCCCTTGTCGGAGAAGCGGGTCAGGGAGCGGACGTAGTAGGGGTCCCATCTGGAAGGAATTAGCAAGAATCAAAGACCAAGCGTATATATGTGTACTCACTTGGTGTAGACACGCGGGTTCTCGCCCCGCTCCAGGTAGATGACGCTGGTGCGGATCCACTCCTCCTGTCCCTTGCTCGTCTCACCCTTGCGGTCAAAGTACCAGATCGGCTCCGACAGGGTCTTGAGCACGTCAGGCCGCTCCTTGTACAGGACGTTGTAGACGTGGTGCGAAGAGACCACGTCCGACTCGCCACCCTCCAGGGCACGAGCAATGCACAGCAATCCAACAATGTCGGAGTCATCTGCGTGGAAGTATTGACTAGAAGCCGTCAGCACCGAACATAATCATCAGAACGAGACCACCTACCGAGCGTTGGTCCGGTAGATGCGGACCTTGTCAATCTGGGTCGGGTCCTCGCCCAGGTCCTTCACGTGTCCTAGGACATGACCACGGCTGTTCTGGCTGACAAAGTAGCCCAGGTACGTGCCCAGGCCCATGTAGGCGACGGCGGACTTGTGGTTGCCCCATTCCTGAACCGGCAGGCCCTTGAAGAGGATGAAGCCTTTGCCATTGAGCAGGTCGTCCCGCAACTCCAGCAGGAACGGGCCCAGCTTCGGCAGGGGGAAGTTGCTCTGAATCGTCTTAGTCGAAGTCCGTAAGGCCAGTCAGGCTGAGAAACATACCTTGGAGATGCCAGTCAACGGGGTGCCAGAGGCAATGAACTTGTCGGCCGTCGTGCTGAGTTCTTCGAGCTCCTCCTCTGTGAAACGATGGGTCCATTTCTCAGGGTGCTCTCTGTACTCCTCGGCCGTCCAGACGGTAGGACCGGTGATTTCTTTGGGGAAGGCCTCGAATGGCTTGAGTTCTTCATAGATCGGGGGGTGCTGGCCGGTCGTCTTGAGCCCGTCAGGGAAAAGATTCAGATCGACCGTCCCCTTGAGCTGGTGCGGGGGAGTAGGCAGCGTGTCCACCACGCCGGGAGCCATTGTGGGAAGTGGATGGAATAATTGTCTATCTTAACCAGTGAGTCCTGCACAGGAGAAGAAGATTGAATAATAGAAAGTGAGGGAGAAGACGGAGGACGAAAAAGAACCGTAGATATTTATCTCCATCAGACCCCCTCATCCCCTCCGCCGACCGGAGCACCCCTCGATCGATAAGCCGGATCAGTGCAAGTATTGTCTAGCTCAGGAACAGAACAGGCAGTGGCATCGGCAAGCCGTGATTGGCGAGCGGGCGGATGGTGAGACTGGCAGGAAGGTCAACGCCAGGGCTGGTTGGCGCCGAGATCACGCAATTTGCAGAGAAGTTTGTGAGATCGCCTTAGCACGCCATGTCGGCCGCCGGCGCTGGAGAACGGCCCTCGACGGACATCTGGAAGAAAACGAACAGAAGGCTATCGCCGTTAACCTAACGCTCAAGGAGAATTATAGCCAATCACCGTGCTGTCGGGTCTCATTGCGAGAGAACTGCAAACTGGCATGTCGATGTATACTTTTTATACCTGTGTCCGGGGTATATAGTCCGGGGGAGATGATTGGCGGGCGTCGACTGGATTATGTAACCCGAAGCAGAAGCCGCGAGAATGAAACAGAGAAAGGTGATTGGCCAGCAGAGGCAAGACCCCGCAATTGCAACAACGGCAGCCATCGGACTTCATTCCGATCGCCGTGCCAAGCCTTTCCTCGTTTTCTAGACGACATGAAGTCATCAGAAAGCATTCCTTTGCAAGTTTTACTAGGCTCGTTTCTTTTTTTTTTCTTTTGGGAAAAGATAAATATAGCAGGTCTTCTGGTGCATTTATACATTTATTTCCTGATATATATAATGCCTCCATTTTGCCAGGAAGTGAAGCTGCATATTTGACAGCCATTCTATCAGGGTGATACAAGTAGGACTGAGTAACTGTTGGAAGACGACATAGATTCGCTAAGAAGCGAGTGTCACCTCATTCCTTTTTGAGCCGAGTTTGCAACATTAGCCTCCTTTATTAGACTGTCCAAGGTAGGTAATGGATTTGTCCAGTCAACTGATAACTGGCCGCTCTCCAAGAAAATACGTCCTATGATGCATCTGAGGACAGTTTACCAGGCTGTGGCCTCCCTGGTTGTGGAAAGCCATCGCCAATACGTGAGGGACCCGGTTTGTGAAACTTAGCCCCGTACAACCCCATAAAAATGGTCGCACTCATTCACAGACCTTTAACAGGAAATAGAACAGATGGGGGCTTTGATGAGGATGATGTTGACTGGGATGAATACTGATAATGTGATGGGCCTGGTCGTCTCAACTGTCTTGGCTCTTGATATCGCAGTGATGTACTGTGCCATCAAGGTCTGTATGGTACTGGCTTTGCATGCAGCATTACAGACAGGGCTGGTTTCCTCAGCTATTCTCCAGAGCAATGATGACTGTAGGAAGATCGATACGAGAAACAGGGTCATCTTTAGATAGATCGTCCCCAATCTGCTGCAATTTTCTCCCAAAGGGGCCATTCTCATCGAGACGCCCAAGTCCACGTAGGAGCTTCCCAAACGCCCACAAGTCATGCCGGCGCCTTTTTTCAAATGGCAAGCCGAGAGGCTGTAGTTCCTCCCGAATTTCAGGAGCCAGCCACTCATGTGTGAAACCAACTCCAATGTCAATGAGAACCGCATTATTCTCTGCATCGATGACGACATTTTTGGGAGTGATGTCCATATGGGTGATTTCGTTTTTGTGCAACTGGTAGAGAACCATCGCGATCTGTTTCGGCCAATGCATCCAGGTGGACTCTCTCCTATTGTCCGGACAGATGGCTTCTTCAAGAGTTCCGCCCGGGTAGTACTCTAGGAGCATCCCATGAATCACATCGGGATTCTTCGCCTGAGGCCTGGTCGCAAACGGACTTGGAGCTTTGACCACGGCCACGAATTGAACGATATTTGGCGACCCTCGAAAGAGGAGCACGTTGCGGAGCTCTTGTTCGAAGGTCTCAGTATCATGCGGATGGTAGAACGGCCGGTTCACCGTCTTGTACACATAGAGCCGATCGCAACCATGCTGAAGGACTAGATGGGCGCTGTCTGCGATCTGCTGCTTGATCTGCAGATCCGAGAGGGATACCGAAGGCAACGGAGAGTCATCTGGATACGGCGGATATCGTACTCGTAGAGGATCTTCCCGGATTTTATAGACAAAGCTGCCACCAGGTCTAGCAAGGCTGTTTCCTTCCTGGGCCAAGAGTTCTGCCAGCATCATAGGAAGCCTTTGCTCGTCAGGCCACACGGATTGGTCTGCCACGATGAGCTCGGTGACCGTGTCGTTTAGGAGCGGAAGCGAGTCGAATTGGATGAGCAAGATCATTGTTTCTAAAGCCGCGCGCCTCTTCTTCTTATTTTTCCTGTTTTAAATGCCATTTCTGCCTCGAAATGTCACTTTCACGTGCCACCTGGCTTGGTGGCGTCGGACTATAATGTTTTCAGAACGCTCGCATGGCTCTGCGGAGCCGTCACATTGATAGCCCTCATCCTCTTGGTAGGTTTTTGGCAGAAGATCAATCATAGAAGATACTGCCATGGGAGAGTCGGGCATTGTAACGCTGGTTTCAAGGGCCAGATGGTGGATATGAAGTCAGGCAGGGGCTCGTAGGCCATGTCCAGGTCGCATGTCACGTTCGGAACTGTTATGAATTGCCCTTTCGAGCATAGTCAGGTGCCCTCAGCCGCTCCACTCCAGTCCAGATAACGTGGGCGCTATACCGCATCAGGTGATCCTTAATCAGCTTAGATAAGCTACATTGCATTCGCTTGCCAGATTAGGTTTTGCTGTAATTACCAAGATTGTTTACTAAAGTACCTAATGTAGCCATAGTCTGGCGAAATCATGGTATTTGCCAGTATCATTTTCTCGTTGACAGTGGTTTTGATTCTGGATTTGATATTTGGCATTATTCTCCGTCCAGGGTGTACTCCTCAATCAGCATGTCAGCACATGACCATCCCGTGACATACGCAGTCGCCTGGATGTGGCTGTTTGGCAGCACAGGCACCACGCTCATGTCGGCCACCCGCAGATGCCCAATGCCAAACACACGGAACTTGTGGTCCACTGCTGCATCGGTGTCATCTATTTTCCCCATCTTCACGGTCCCCGTCATGTGGAAGCTCGACATGATATTTTCCTTCCAGAACTCCAGGATATCCTCGTCCGATTCCGACTTCGGACCGATCAGCTCGGCCACATTGTCCTTGGTGAACGAAGGATGCTTCACCACCTGGAGGAGATGGCGAACGCTTTCAATCGCAACCCGGCGGTCATAAGGATGAGAGAGGAGTTTCGGATCGAAGAGAAGAGGCTTGTCCGGATTCGGCGACTGGAGCGCGACTTTGCCCCGACTCTGGCCATTGAGCACAAAGGCCACCAAGCTGTTATAATTCATGTGCTCCTTGGGCCAGTTGGGAACAAACATATGGGCCGGGAAATGCGTCAAAAGCTCATAATGCGGCACGGTGTCTTGAAGCAGAAACTCTTTCTCATCTGCTGGCAGCATTTTGAACTCGTGTGAGGACGTGATCTCATCAGACTTGAAATACCCGACCCCAAACTGACAAGCGAAGGTCGTCCACGGACCGGTACGATCTTTCTTCCATTGCTCCATCCCGGCATCCATTGCTTCTTGACAACCATAGAAAGCCCCCCGGTCGGTGCTATGCTCTTTCCGAAGGAAGGAGAGGGCGACGAAGCCATGGTCACGGAGGCCCTGGCCAACGGCAGGAAGATCCTGAATAACCGGGAGTTGATGCCTCTCCAGCTGAGAAGAAGGGCCAATCCCGGAAAACATCAGGATCTTCGGCGTGTCTAGGCTGCCTGCTGACAAGATTACGTCTTTTGCGGCCAGAACTAGACAGTTGTCTCAGCGGACTTATATCTTTCCAAAGAAGGACAAATCTATGCAAGCAAAAACAACCAGGATATACGAACAGTGTCTGCCATTCGATTCCACACCCGCTGCCCTTTTGTTTTTCAGAATTACTCGCTGGACTGGCGCATTTGTAAGGATGGTCAGATTCTCCGGGTGACTCGTCAACAGATCTGCTGCCGTTGACATGCGGCCTTGATACGCGGAGTTCATTGCGATCCCCATTCCAAGCGGATTGCCCGAGTTAAGATCAAAATTTCGGGGGAAACCCGCTTCTTCAAAGGTATCCAGTAAAGGCGGGAGATCCTTTTCCCATTCGGAAGCATAGCCAACGTGGAGAGGACCCTGGGTTCCATGATCGGATGGATTAGGAGCCGCATATTTCTGATGCTCCTTTGTTGGCATTTCGCGATGAAAGGTTTCCAGACTCTTCAGCCGTGGTTGCATCCTCTCCCACTTGAAGAAGTCATCGCCAACGATCTGCGCCCACCGATCGTAGTCACCCCGGCAGCCCACGGTGTAGGCGCTGAAATTAATCGCGCTGCTGCCTCCGAGACCGCGTCCTCGGGCATAGTTAATGACGCGGTTATGACAATGCTCCTGAGGCACTGTCATATATCCCCAGTTGCGGTCCGGATTCATGAAGGCGGTCCATCTTTTCCCCACTACTCGGAGGATGTCGTCTGGACTGCCACCACCGGCCTCTAATAACAGGACACTGGGCTTCTTCACTGTATTTGCGAGCCGAGAAGCGATCACGCAGCCAGCCGGTCCACCTGTTGATCAAAATGTTAGACATGATTATCATGGTGATGCGATAGAAGACTGACCTCCAACAACCACGAAATCATAAGGTCTCGCCACAGGTCCGTCCATTCTTTCATTTTGAGAAATTTGCCTTCCAAAATATGCGACTGGTTGGATAATGAAATGAAGTTAAAGGAGTGGGAGTAAGTAAGTTCGTGACTCCGAGGAGGATAAATACGGCTTAATTACGTCACCCTCAGACGTTGTTCGATCATTGTCAGATGCTCTGGTTCAAACTGGACAGCGTCTCACGCTGAGACAAATTGTGTCTTCTGTTCAAGATGGTATCTGATCACTCTTTGCAGAGTGACTTCATCAGTTACAGCTCTATGACAGCACATGACTCTTGGGACTGTGCATTAAGACCTTCGTCTGGAAAAAGCTTACAGCTGCCATTGCATCCCGGGAGCAGCAGATTGAATTGCTGAAGTGAGGTGAAGTGAGAACCCAAGCTCATGGGAGCAAACTGCATATTGCTAGTCATATTGCGACAATCAACAACTCGGCAGATGGCCCCAAATCGAGGACCTTGCCCGTCTGCCTCTTTCTGTTATGATCCCAAGTCTTTCGAGTATGCTGGAAAGGTACTGGACATGGTAGGTATAATTGTTCCCAAAAAGCGCACTCTTGATTGTCCTTGTTCCGTGTCTATCCACATGAAACGAGTGTAGCTGCTACCAGTACAGCTGATAACCATGTCCACAGATAACCATGTTGTCAAAAACCATGTTTATACAAACCAGACAGCCGCCCAAACCATCAACCAATCAGCCATTGTAGTCAATCTCTACCGCAAGACGAACAGCTCCGGCAGGGATATTGCCGCCAATGCCGTTCTGCCCAGAATTTGCCTGCGTATAAGCGTTGACAACCTGTGCCGCATTCGTCGTGATATAAGAGCAATCCGTCGACGGAGCCTGGCAGATCTTCATCCCCTGGACTTGCTTTCCAGCAGCCTGCGCCTGGATCGCGGAGACGTCATAGCCAGACCATCCGTTGTTCCCCGTGTTTCCAAAGTCGAACTCGCCCCAAGTGCACGCGTATCCACCGTTGCTGTCCGTGGGCAGACTGCTGCCGGGAGCCGCACCCCAGCCACCCTGCGAGTCCTCGGCAAAGGCAACGTACTTGGTCTCGCCGGCATTCAAGGTGAAGCTCAGAGCGGAATGACCGTACCAGCCGTCCATCTTGCCGTCCGGGCCGTACTTGTTCCAGAAGACCACGATCCAAGGATCGGTGTTGCTGCCCTTGAACTGCGCCACGTATTTGTACTGCGAGGCCTCGCTTTCAGAGACTTCGATGATGTTGCTGCCCCAGGGGTTGCCGACGTTGCCCTCGTAGGTGACACTGCCGCTGCTGCCGCTGGGGCTGGTCGAGGCGCCGAAGCCTGCGGTCGAGAAGGAGCCGCTGGCGGGTATCGCGGTCCAGTCGCCGCCGGACGAGGAGGAGGAGGAGGAGGGAGGGGGTCGGCGAGGGTGAGTGTATCGCTGAAGAGGAAGCCGCTACGCCGTGACGCTTCTCGAGGGCTTCCATGTTATGGAAGTGAGCATGGCGCCGTTCATGACCGTGCGGACGGGCCAGCGTGCCGGCGGTAAGAGCTGCAAGCAGCAAGAGGACCTTTGAGATGTGCATTTTGAAATCTAACGCAACGTATATATAGAAGCGAAACCCTATGCAGGGACACGACTTGCGTGGGAGAGGAACAGCAACTCTATCGAGGGATCTGTGAATGCAAAGGAGCGACTTATAAAGGAGTGACAAGACAAGTAATAAAACAAACAGACAACCACCACACAGCAAAACAAGGAGTGTATAATTCAGTTAGACAACGTATAAGAAAGATGGCTGAAAACTTTTCTCCTCCTCCTCCTATATAACCTAGCAGACACACAGCCAGACAGGGTGGGAACATTACCCCAGTCAAATCAAAACCCACTAGCAGCCACGAAGCCCTAAATTGTCTACGGAGTAATCGTTACGCCCTGGCGAACGCCATCCATGGCGCCGTGAATAATGACTTACCATGGACCTCCTCGACATCCCTGGATCTGGAATGGCTCGAGAACAGCCACTCCCACTTCCCCCGTCGGGGATCCGATCGGATAAGCATAGGATATGGTTGCATCGACGCGGACCGGCACGGAATGGCGGCCCCCAAACCCAATGCCACATGGAACCCTTTTCTTGTTAATGAAAAAGATAACACTGGAGAAATAATACTTGCTAACTGGATATTTTTTACGTTTGGAGAGAATAAGAGTTTCAACAGGGACCTGTACCTGTACCTGTACGTACGATTCGTACGTACGGTGCATACTGTACCTAAGGTTCCAGAAAATCCAGAACCGTAGAACACTATCAATCTAGAACCATACCACGCTAATCGAACTAACAAACTAACTAACTAATTAATATACAGCATTATCAAGCTTAAATTACTGGCTAGCCGGACCATGCCCCCTGCAGGTACCTACAGTACCTTAGGTTAGGTACGCGTTGACTGATTGCCATTGGCGGAATGGCGTCGAGCGTAAGCGCGTATCCACGGTTCGCGATTAAAAATATCCCCGGAACTAAGAATTCCAAGTCATCCAACTTCCAATGGCGGCTGTGTTAGACTTAGGGCCGTAGGGCTGGGTGGGTGGTTTATTGGTTGGTTTGATTAGATCCTTTTTTTTTAAAAAAAATATGACGCTTTGTTCGCCTCGTGGAGTACCTAGTCCTTATCTACATGAACTTGGTTGTTGAGCGGACTTTTATTATTTCCCATTTATCCATGCCTTCTTACTCCGTATATGCTAGAATACATACCGCACAGTAATGTGCATAATAGAAGGGGGAATACACCCAGTCATGGTCATTGACGAAATGTTATTATTTATTATTACATTGTTTTTATTTTATTTACTGTTCCTGAATCAAATCAAGACATGCTGACGCAATCCAATGCAATCCAATGAACATACGTGTGTTCCTGAATAATCCCGACAAGCCACTCACTCAGAATTCCTTCGGATCGGATCCGAAGTGGATGCCAGAAAGAGTCGAGACATCGATATTGCCGTAATCAATTCCCATAGGCTGGAACTTTCTAAATTTCATCTATACAGTACATTTCTGAGACATCCCCTCAATTATGTAGCTAATATAGTTAGCGACATTCGAATTGCGTGTGCAGCAGACGCACTATTCTACCTACGTATGTATACACGTAGACATGTATGTAAGTGGCGCACGGCAATCATGCCAAAAATAATAAACATCGCATATGTCGCGTGGCTTACAGTACCTACCTACCTAGTAAGGTAGATGGGTAGATTATCTATCTGGATGGAGATAAAATAAATATCCGAAGAAAAACCCTAACTATCTCAGCCACATCCCCACCACCGATACTGGACCACCTGAGCCACGGCGCGTCGCTGCCACGCAAGATCCAGATCCAGAACCAGAACTAATTAATGGATAAGCAAGATTCGTCAGATTCGTCATGACTGGTGGATCCGTAGGAGAATGCCAGTCGGATGTCTTATTTGTTGTTTGGCAGTTTGAAGGGACCCACGTTTTGTCGGCAGTTGGGAGGTGATCGTTATACCGTAGGGTTGGTAGGCAGGCAGTCAGTCAGTCTTTCTCGGGAATAATTTTTGAATATTATTGTGTGGGATATTATTGTCATTATAAATATAATTATAAAACGTTAACTTTGATTTTTGATTTTGCATTGAGCACTGAGACATGACTTCACATAAGAAAATGAGGAGGCGAGAATTATGGCAGGAAAAAAAATACTTAGAGCAAAGAATATGGTTAGTTGGGAATCCTGCCTCGAGAGTAGACGTCTGGTAAAGACTACTTTTTTTTGTGAGAAATAATGTAGAGAGAGGGGAATATGGATGTGAGGCATGGCGTTCAAAAGTCTGGACTTGGCAGGATGCCAAAGAGAAAGTCAGAAACTGCTCCTTCAGGCGGGAGCAAGAAGAGGAAGCGGGAACGCGCCCAGTCAGATAGAGAGACGTCGCCTTGTTCCACGGACAGCGACGTATTTATTGAATGGGTTCCTTGATCCTTTTAGAAGCTGCAACAAGAACAACGAGTACCTAAACAACCCAGACATTCCGGAAGCTGATCGCATTATTCTTCGCAAAGTACAGGCCACCTACGAGGTGCTGTTGATTCCTTTCTCCAGTCAAGGGTATGACCACAGAATCGAGCTTGTCTGGCACTGCGATCGACTCTGGGGCACGTTTGATTTTGGCTACTGCAAGGGGGTCATGCTCATTGAGCCGGGCCCGACTGTTGAGGATTTGTACGGATTCAAGACATTGCCATTCATATGGATTAAGCCATGTCGCCATGGACTGCCCAACGCCCTGGACTGGAACACGGGCGAAATTCGACTCGATGGAAATATGATCGGCGGTCATTTCAACAACACACCGGGTCTCGGTCGGTGCGAGTTCATTGGCCAAAGATTGCATGGACCGCCTCTGAGTACCCGCTCCTCGCATAGCTTCATTGATGAATGGGACGACCTTGACATCTCCTCCGACGAGGATGATGAGGCTGTGCGTTTGCCGCCACGATCCAAGTCATCAGAGTTGGCGTCATCAGAACCAGAGCCACCTGAATGGTTAGCATCACTAGAACCACAATCATCATTAGATCGGACTGCAAAGGACAAGCGAGAGTTCCTTGCAATGGTGACGGGCATTTTCAACATCACAAGCAGGGCGATCGAGCACAACTGGTCAACCAAAGCAAAGAAGCTATCTATCCGATTCCACGTCGATCGCGAGAAAATTGCTGTCTGGGGGAAGTTCAGCCTAGGTATCTGCAACGGCTTCCTTCTTATGAAGAACTCACCCGACAGTCTGAAGCAAGGTGTCCCGCTCAAATTCCGCTGGCGTGGAAGGGAGACCGATACGGGTGACAGCATTTCAGGGACCGGCGAAGTCAGCATCAAGAAAGACCGCACGATCCAGGGTGTTTTTCACGACATGTATGGGAATGTTGATTTCTCTGGCAAGAGGAAATTCATGCCTAACAATGAGTCGGGGTATGAGGCATCGTACTACCGCAGTCAGTGGAAGGAGTATGAACGGGTCGAACGTCAATTGGGTTGAAAGTCTGAGTCGGCTGGCTGTGAACCTACCTGGGATCAAGATAGGAAAAGATATGTACTATGCTAAACAATTTCTAACAATAATGTCTAATTATAATTTCTAAAATAAACAAGTCGTTTGGACTAGCTAATGATGATAATCCAAATGCATCGTCAGAAAAAAAAAGAAGAGAGAGAGAGAGAAGGTAAATTGCATTACAAGAGTCCAAAAAATAATACAACACAAAAAGCAAGGCATCTTAAAATACGGTTCATCTTGTCTAACATCCAATTCTATATCCAATTCTATAGCAGATACGTAGATAGACAGATAGGAGATAGATACAATATAAATCATCCATAAAAAAATCCATAGAAAATAGTACTACAATTAACAACACCATCATAGATAAACAGACTTGATTAAGCCAAAGAGAAAGAAAGAAAGAAAGAAAGCAAAGAAACTCCACATATGGTATATGGTCGATCGTCTCGCTACATACTGTACAGTAGGGAGTACATGTATCTCAGGTCGATCTCAGTTCTTCCTGGGTCTTTATTATTCCAAGCAGCGAGAACAGAGTGTTCTTACTTTACAACTGCAACAATCAACCTATTCTGTTATCTAGGGGGCACATCTTGTACTAATAATTGATTGATTGATCTGACAAATTGGAAGAAGAGTTAATCATGTAGTATGTTATCCAGAGAAAATGCAAATATATAAACAGATGCTGTGTATGTACATGTAGGGGATTAACTGCAAGGTTAGATAAAAATCAAAACAGGTCCGGGTATATCTACACTGGATAGAGTACCTACTAGAGAACTAGCTTTATTTAACACTTACTTCAGCCTTAATTAATCACACTCCTTTCTCTCCACAAATGAAATGATGTGGCGTGCATACATACCAGAATATTACTTAAAAAGTGATATTAGCCTAAACTCATCAACAGTCCTGTGTATAGCATGATAGCTTCCCCACACGACAGGATGCAATTTGCGGGGCTGTTGTCAGTAAACAACACTAACAATATAGTATGTACTAACGAGTGTCGTGGAGCTTGAATCTAAACAGCCGGGGAGATATATATGAAGAGGAATATTCATTGGAAATGTGATTTCAATCCCTTCGATCCCAGTTCAGACAGTGAATCCCTCTCTCTACTTGACCAAAATGCGTCTCTCTCCGTCTTTAATATTCGTACCGCTGGTCACACCAGCCTTTACATTGCTATTCAACTCGAACCTCACATCTCCTCCATGGCTCAATGATCTCGCACAGAGGCGTGGCAAGCTGTGGTTTGGCACGGCAGCTGACATCCCCGGTCCAGAGCAGCAGGATACGAACTACATGACCATCCTGAATGATACGAAGATATTTGGGGAATTGACGCCTGCGAATTATATGAAGGTGGGCATTCACCTCTGTCAATTACCTTTCTTTCTTTCTCTATTTCTTTCTTCCCCCCCCTTCT